CTCAGGGAAAAAAAAGCACCGAAATGTGCGTTGCTTTTCAGTCTGGTTACTACCGTTTAGGTTTACTGACCCGAGGACTGGTCTCAGACTGCCTGGAAATCTCTGGTCAGCAGGTAAAACTTGTGCATTGGACAGTGGTGGTTCGGGGTTGCTGACTATTATCATGTGAAATCATTAACTGTTAATGTAGCAAATTTTCAAAGAAGCTGCTGGACCTAAAACCTCTTTTTTCATTACTTTGATCAGCGGCAGATTGCTGTGGGTCCCCGAAGTTTGCAGGGAAGACGCCAAGTGATAGTGAAACAATGAAAAGTGTGACACAAACCAGAAATTGAGACTGTTAGCCTTGAAAGAAAATGTTGTCCTTTACAACAGAAACCAACACTTTAATCAAAAAGTGCAACTTGTACTCCGAAGAGGGACAATCTCTGTTTCTGGTTTGAGTTGCAACTTTCAAAGTTTTACCACTGTGAATAGTTGACAAGTGTTTGCAGACAAATCTGCAGCAATTTGCAAGCAACTAAAGCAATTGCAAAGAGGTTCTTAGGGCACCACTAAATACCTCTTTATCACCAATTTCTCTTATCAAACAATCAGGAAATATTGAGCAGGGGGTCTCGGATTAGTCTCTTACCTGTGTGACTGAGGCCTAATACTGACTTTTTGTTGTCTTCTGGATATTGTTGGGTTTTGTTTTGTTTTTTCCTTTTTTAGGGGATCTTCACCTGGATTAAAATAGTCCATAGCTCCAACCAGTGGGCTGTATTTTGCCTAAGTGCAAGGTATGGGCATACCTGTCGCCCTTTATTTGATTTTGGTGGCTAGCAGAATGTAACAGAAATAACTGCAGTGGTGATGAGATCTGCTCAAGGACAAGTTCATTACAGGTTTAACCACAAGCGTCTCCACTGAAGTCTCTGGAAGGTGCAAACGTGAGTGTGAATGTCTGTCTGTCTCTATGTGTTAGACCCGTGACGGATTCTACACATGCTGTTGTTAATTTAGAAAATGCTTCAAAATATCTCATAATTAATTGCCAGGTTACATTTCAAGATGGCTGCCAAGTGTCAAAACGTGCATATGTTGTTGTTGTCTTTGAGCTGCTGTCATTCAGATCCAACACTCAGGGCCTGGGGGTGTCCTTCAGAGCATTAAAATTCATTATACATTTTATGAAAAAAAATCTATAATACAAGAAGCTCATCCTCTGGGGAACACGGAAGCTTCTACTCAAATATATTTTCTTTGTATGTGTGCAGCGAGAATTTTGAGTGAGTGGAAAACTGCTAGAGAAAGGCCCAGGTGTGTTCATTACAGGTTTAACCACAAAAAAAGCTTTAAGAGCAGTATTTTCTTTTTGCGTCTCTGAAGAGCAAATCTCTGATTCTGACTGGTAGCAGCAGCAGCTCTGTCTGTTTTCTCTGCCCTGCTGGGTTTTTTGTTTTAATATCTCGAGTCAAGTTGTTTCTTTCCCTCTGAATCTTTCTGTCTTGCTAGTCTTGGGTTAGAGCAGTCTGGTATTTCACCATGTAAGGCTGCAGAGCTGCACCACTCTAGGGATTTAAAAAAAAAAAAAAAGGAGGAAACTATTTTCCTAGCGTAAGAGATTTTATAATTACTTTTCAGCTGGACATAAAGGCTCTGTGTGCTCATGAAGGCAAGACAGAACATGATGACAATGAAAATTAAGTGCAGAGACACTTAATCTACCAGATAAACGCAAATATTTATCATCACTTTCAAAGGACTTTACATAACAGGAGAGAAGTGATTATTTTTGCCAAGAGTGTTATTTTTAGACTTCCAGTGACAGCAGTGGGCTCGGTTTTAGGAGTGTTCCCACTCCCACACTTCCACACCTGGAGGCTGTCCAGTGCAGCAGGAGCTGGATCTGTCCACAGCTTAAGAGCTTTCTCAGATGTGCGACAGCCTCACTCAAGAGCACCTCGGAGCTGCAACTGATTTGTGCATTCCAGACTTAGATTTATCCCTTCAGTCCTGGCATCAAACAAACACAAAGACACGATGAGCTCTAACCCTCAGTCGGCCACTGGCACCTCACCACTGCCTGCAGATTATCAGCAGTAATATTCTGCTGCCAAAAATCTGTCTATACCAAGCGTGTGTCAAATATATTTCACATTAATACATCAGAATCAGAATCAGAATCAGAATGGGGTTTATTGCCAGATGTTGAGGTTTACAACATTAGGAAATTGCTGCGGTGCTTCAGTGCAAACAATAAGAATTAAAGTGCTATGTAGAAAGAAAGATATGTGCATGAGATATACATGAGATATATACATGAGAATAAGAATTATGAGTGCTACGTAGAAAGATATATACATGAGTGCAGGTGGTGATCAGTGCCAAACATGAAATGATGCAGTGACACAGCGTAGGGTCATCAGCTTGATACCAAATTCTTTTTTGTCCGACATGTGCCAAAGTCGGTCAGTCGACCAGATCAATACTGACTTTTTAGAGCAATTACTGATAGATTTTTAGTTAGTAGTTTGAAATCTACCTTTATGGCAACTTCAACAACTCTAAAAAGACAATCTGCTCTGTATCTCTCATTCCTCTAACTACATAGTTATTGGAAAAAATACATTTTAGGCTTCAATTTTAGTGTTGCTGGCAGGGGTTAATTCACCTGTCCTTGATTTCATGAGCGTTACTGCTATAGTCTATCCAAACGTGATAGCCTGTCAAGTGTTTGGACACCTTTAAAATTCAGGTGATCGAATATAACCCAAGAAAATTGAATGTATTGATTTCCATATTACTTTGTGCCATTATAGTTTTGACAACCAGCCCTGTTTATCTATCCACAGCTGCTGGACAGTGCATTATCATCTGGATACTGGCTTTGAAAAACAATCAGCTCTTCTGAAAATTTCCCGTCACCGTTGCGGTCAGCGCAGCCGGTTTCTCCACCTGATATTTCCCAGACTGCCTTTTGGAGATGACAGTCATAATTTTTGACTGTTTGACAAGTTTTCTCCACTGTTACGAAATCGGGGTCACCAAAAGTTTTCATCCAAGGTAGCAAAGGATGTCCCAGGTGCCTCCAGACAGTCCTGCAGGTTAAATGGTTCTAACCAAAGACTTTCAGAGGTTACTATCCCCGCATGACTCACGACAAGCAGGCTTAAGAACAATCTGTTGTTTTTAATCTGCACATTCAACAACATCTGGACACATTTAGTCCCAGGATAAATGGCTAATTTTGGATTTCAGAATGTATCAGGAAATAATGTCCCAAGTACAGCACGTCCACTACTCCTTAGATTTAATTTCAGTCTGTTTTCTTGCTAAACTTCCTTTTCTTATGATTTTGTGCACAGCAAATTCTTCTTCATGCGAACAGTTCTGACTGTGCTTTTGACTCTCGGCTAATATTATTTTATTATTATGTTAATTTTCTATTTACAAATGTTCCTGAAACAGTGGTGCTGTCTCCCAGAGGGAGGATCAAGGTTCCACTTCATGTTTGGGAAAAATACAGCTGTCATAAAAGATAGAACTATCTGCTTACCCGTGTTCTTGGACTGTTTGAAGTGTGTATCCGTGTGGAGTAGAGACCAGCAACATCAACAAAGCAGACTTCCCAGTACGTGACTGACAGCCTGTTTACATGCTGATTCCCCATATAAGGCGGATGCAATGCTTTCTGGGCCACAGCGGGGGGGTTATTTTTACTTTTTACAGACTTCTTTTTGAAACCTTGTCTCGACTGATTTCTCCAAAGTGGAGGGTGCTGTCCAGGACTTCACACACTTTGCAAACACACACACAAAATGATAAAAATAGTTTTTTTTAATGAAATTCATATAATGTCAGGTAGTCCCAACTTCACAGCTAATGAATTTAAAATAGCTTCAAAATGAATGGATCTGATAAGCAGACTAGCTTTCACAAGTATTACTGTGACACGTTAAATTCACATCCAGGCAAACAAATCTGTTTTTTGTTCTCCACCAGCTGCAAAAGACAGAGTTAGCGAGTTAAGCAATAGAAGAGAAATAACTTTCCCGTGGCTGCTTCAACAATTTCAAGGTCCTGGAGGATCAATACCCAGGCTCTTCAATGATGTGGTCATGGCCAAATGTATACTGTAAATTTAGAGGTGTCATCAGCTGTTCAAAAAGTACAACACATGTGCCAAGTGTATATCAGGCTGCCAGGATAATGAAGACAATAGGGTGGTCTAGGTGTGGTATTTGATCGGAAGCCAGATTTCAAGTGATCGCAGGGACGTGTTTGGCCCCTCCCAGCAGCCACGTCATTAATGCATTAAACAAAGGATGAAGTGGCATGGCAGTAACACATAAAGCATCTCTTTCTTCTCAGATGGGCACAGTGCATCAGTACTGGTGTCTTTCTAAAGCAGGTAGAAACAAAAAATATTGTAACGTCTGTTTATATGACTGAGTTGTTTTAAACGAGGGAATGACCTCACAATCTCAGCTTTCAGAACTCTCACCCAAACTTGAACCCTGAAATGCAGCAGTACGTGCCGGTGGCTGCATGTATAATTCAGAAGCCCTAATACAAATTTGGTATCCCCACTCTCTTGAAATCTTTGCTGGGATGTCCTGCCTCTTTCTCTCTCTCTCCTTTATTTCTCCCCTCCCTCCCTCCCTCTCCATCTCTCACTGTGTTTACAGCCTTGGAGAGGACGGCATATCTGACATTTCTCTCTCAAACTCCAACCAGCTCTCTTCTCATCTGACAGGTAAGAGCCAGCATCCTCTGAGCTGCTCCTTAGGAAGGCTGACAGAGAGTCGATGATGATAAATGATGATACAGACAGGATAAAAGCCCAGTAGGGTGGATCTTGTGATAAGAAGAGTCATTAAAACGTATTATTATTGGTAGCTGAGATTAGTTATTTGAGTCAGGTACTTAACTGGTTGGGGACATAAAGGACATTTGTACTTTCAGAAGTTAAACGGTTACAGGAGATGTTTGATGTTAAGATATTAAGGAGCACGATGTGAATCACTGCTTCTTATAAAGTCACTGCTCACTTACAGTAAATAAAGCTTTGTAGAAAGAAGCAGGGGAACAGGGACTGGGCTAAAACTCCCAGAGGGATAAACACTTATCCCAGCTTCTTACATTCCTATCTCAAACACATGATTTCATTTAAAAGCACTCAGGAGTCAAATCAACTCTATCTTAATAATACTTAATGCTACAGTACGATATACAATATTTCCCAGTGTGGTCCAGGAGAATTCACTGTATTTCTTTTTTCTTTGTTTTTGCTCCATTTGATAATCTTATTCTATTTCTAGATGCCTTTCCATTAAAAAATAATAAGAGGAAGATTTTTAAGCTACTTTTAGATGTATCTTTACTTCACAATGACCGCTCAAGGAGACATGGAGCGAGTTACGCATAAAAAGGCAACACTAGAAAGAAGAGGGTGGTAAGATTTTCTTTCTGACATGTGACAAATACAAAAAACAGTTGGTAAAAAAAGAAATCAATTATATTTAAGACTGTGAAACTAACTATGTTTATATCACGCTATACAATGCAATTTTACACATGTATATATTGTTACATATGTATATTTATGATAAAGTCCTTAAATTTTTTGACATTATGTTGTTGTTTTAATAGACCTATAATTACGCCTATATCCAGACACTATATCTATTTAATGTTTTAGAGTAATATATATATATGCCCCCAAATTTAAAGTGATTTATGTGAGGTATTGGCTCCCAACAGCTGCTATCAAAGAGTGGGCGCAGCTAGCCATGACCCAATTAGAGTAGCAGGTCAACATCAGTAAGCCTATGCATCTGTCTAACCTACATACTTCACAGCTGTCAATCATTTTCTAAGAGGAAATGCCAACCAGCTACCTCTCTTGCAAGTGCTGACGTTGATTGCAAAGACAAAAAGCATCGCTAATGACTTATTTTTAGCGTCACTTTAGACTCTAAAGTGGGCAGAAAGTGGCGTGCATGTACCTGCGCGATCTGGCACACAACGACAAAACTCACAGGAGAAAAATTTCAGTTTATTTATAAACTATTTCCATCTCTAAAAACTTTATTACCAGTAACATCAGCACCATTATTTTCCACTTCTGTGTTGGTCACACTGGAGAAATCTAATGCTTGGCAAGAGCGGCTAACAACAGCTGATTGTGTTTATAGGACAACGCGGTCCTTTCAGCAGCCCAGAGGAGCAATCTGCACTTTAACGGTGATAATCTAAAAATAAAAACAGGCTTCTCCTCGAGCTTTGCACGGTAAATACAATCAATTGATTAAATGGACTGTGTTTTTTGCATGAGGCCTATTAGATACATTTTAAAAGTAGCAGCAGAATGAAAACATAGATTCTTCTTGGGTTCATTTCCTAACCTGCTTTACTGAAACTGCAGGAGGAAAAATAATATCACCCAAATGATCTACTGCTTACTTTTTGGGGCCTTCTCCATATTACAGGATGTGGCTAAGATGGGAAATTACAGTTAACCTTGACTCTCTTTTTTTTTTTTTTTAAATTGTTGGAATAATTTGAAATTGAATCCATCTGGAGTTGCTTTGAGATTATTTACTTTTTTTTTTCAGGACACAAGATAGCCTTCAGCTAATGATCCTTTATCACCGACACTTTTAGAAGCCTGGGAGCTTATTATTAAATATTATAATCCCTCAGGTTTAATCAGTAGCCCTTTTGGGGCTGACACAGTGGCTCATGTGTTCCATTAAACTACAGAATTACCACTGAAATAAAGGCCACAGCTTCAACCTAAATAAAGGTGTTTGTGAAGTTAGCTAGACCATGTTCCCTGTGACACATTTGGCTTTAAGCCACTTGATTCCATCATATTCCCATTTCATTCTTTTATTTTGGGAATAGTAGTGTGGATTAATCTCTGAGAGGAACAGCTGAGTGTGTGTGGCCCTATGAGACGTATAAACAGGCTAAGAAGCAAAGTAGGAAACGATGACGAGTAAAGAGTTTGCTGAAAATAAGAAAATAGATGAATGCACTGCATCAGGATGTAGGTGTGCCTATGTGGACCAAAAAAGAGGAAAGCTTTATATCTACTGTCAACATTTCATTTTCATTAATTTCATGCAGTGCAAATGAGGGTTATTTGCACTCTAGACACAAGAAAGAAAAGCACAGCCTGGCTGACCAGCCGAGGATGAAGCTGAGCAGAGGTGGCTCGCTTGTTATCAGACACGCGGTGTGCAGACTGACATACAGAGTGAATGTAATTTCACCTCAAAGATCAAACTACAAGCTGCACAAAAATGGCAATTTCTCATATAAAAAGTGAGGAAAGGAGGCAAGGAGGAGAGAACGATGAGTGGAAGGCTCATGACCTCGGGCACAGGATGATTGAGAGGAACAGAGCCGGGCAGGGAAACACCAGGGCGGATGAATATTAATTTCTTTAGGTGTAGTTTGAGCTGCTGTCAGAGGGAAGCCCAGAATACAAACTGTCTATGCAGAAGACGCACAGACAGTTGCCTTTAGACAACAATTCTGATGGCAAAAGAGCCAAACGGGACAGGCAAAAAAAAAAAAAAAAAGAAGACGCACAAGCAAAGATTTTTCTTGATTGCTTCAGTCCAGGCAGTTTGTCTGCAGACCACTAGATGGAGCTGAGGAAATACACAGAGATGCGTAGATTTCATTTTACTGTTTAGTAAAAATTGACATTTTTAGTGATAAATACGAAGTGAAAAAAAAGTTTATTTGGTTTAAAAAAGAAACGCCAAACATAATACGTATTCTGGAGGATTGCACGTGTATTTAAAGAGTTATTTTATAACCTGTATCAACTGTACTCAAAAAGCATAGTTGTGTCAGTCTGAAAGCTTTCTGTCATTGTAACAGTTCTATTTAGCATTATTAGCACTTTGACCTTCAGATCAATCTGCTGACCTTGAAGAAGAGGTCAGAGGTCAAATGTGACAAGACATTTTAAATCTTTATACTGTACTTTTTATATGTTGACTTGTAAGAATCAGTACGTTTTCAGTAAGTTTTAAGGCTTTTTGTTGATTTTCAACCAATAAATCTTTGAGTTGACCTTGAAGACCTCAGTGGATGACATGACCCCGCTCTACACCCATACAACATTTTACCAGCATGAATACAAAACATTTTGAGGTGTTGTGCTTACAGAAAATACCTCAAAACAATAGCCCTTAACCACAAATAATGAGCTGAAAGAGCGCCACCTGTTGACCCAAACCAAACAGGACTTTCAGCCTGACCCTTTCAGGCCACCCTGAAGCTCCACAGCTGATAAAGTCAAAGGCTACTTCTATGTGGAGCAAAATATTTAGAATCTAATGAGTTTAAAAGTCCAGACTGAACGCAAACGCTCTAAATCATGGGTGTCAAACATAAGGCCTGAGGACCAGATTTGTCTAAGCACAGACTCAGCACAGACAGATTTCTTTCATTTACTACAGCAGCATTATTTTATCACGTAGATAAAGAGACGTACTGTTGAAACCACTCCTCGTTCTCTCATATCAATATATGTCAGGGGTTCAATGTGTAGTTAAACCTCTTCACACTGATAGGAAGAGGAGTTTCGCTGGCTGCTTCTGTGGGGTGGAAGAAAAGAAGAAAACTCATAAACAGATGACAGGAAAAGTTCAGCATGATTACTTTCTGATCATTCTTGCTGCATTTGTTCGAGGACATACAGAGACTTTGAAGGATTTATGAGTAACAGTGATTGCTTGTGTTGATTAAACAGCATATGTACTCTTTAATCAGGTTAATACGCTGAATTAGTGAACTCTGTCAGTACGCCTCCACACACAGGTCATTTAAGGCTAAGACACGGCCGTGTACCGGTCGATCACTCCAGAAATCAGACCCCTGAAACCTCCTTCTTCCAGAGCCACTCTACGCTCCACTTCAGTGAGGTCTGAAGCAAGCGAGCTGGAGAGTTAACCCGTGGGGTTTGAGAAACTGTGTGCTCAAGTGTCAACATGTGAAGTGATAATGAGTGACTCAGAGGAAGATTACGGGGGTGGAAGGAACAAAAGTGAAATGATTAAAAATAGCCATGGCTGCCTTTTTATTTTTATTTTTACAGACACAAGGAAACAAGATTTTTTTTTTAATAAAAATGGCACATTAGAGTTTGAAAGTGCAATTCAAGTATCATAAGCGTAAGTCATAATATATGCAGTATGGGGCACGTTTCCTTTAGCGCCACCCTGAGGATAAACTTCAAACTTTGCACAGAGGACCTCCAAACTCCTGGATTACCACCCTAACACCTACACCTTCTAGCAGCAAAGCTCTCAGGTTCCTAAGCTGTGTGTAGATTGCTGAGCCTCTTTTTGTAATGTGGGATGTAATGTACAATGTACCCAGCAGGGGTGCGCCTGCGTGGATTTTAATCTTGTTAAAAATAGAAAAGAACTTGGCACAGCCGATGCACAAGTGGGAAGATTTTTCTTTTCTTTTTTTTCGCTGTGTGCAGGAGCCTCTAATGCGAGAGCACGGTAACCTTGTCACGGTGTCTCTGATCTGGGGAAAGTCACAGATCAGATGACAAAGGGGGATTTAAGCCAGTGTCGAGAGCCTGCAGCTGCACTGTGTGATGTGCTTTTATTTCCTGCTTACGCACTCTGCTTACAATCTACGACCCCCAGCTGATAGGGATGTAATGACAGAGGGAGGACAAAACATATTATAAAGTCATGAAAAACTTCTTTTGTTTCCTCCTCCCTCTTTACAAACATGTCCCAGGACTGTGGTCATGACAGTTGTGTTGCCGCCACTCAGACTACACTCCAGCTTAACACATCATCAGGCCTCAGCTGGCGCCTCTTGAGCACCCGTCTTATCATCACACTCTGTAGTGCTGATATGGAAAGGTCACATGAGGGGACGAGGGCCTGGGGTGATTCTGAAATCCCATTTTTCATGTGTGTTTAACAGTCTTTTTTTATTTCGCCACTAGAAAGGAGAAGATAAAGTGACTGCCATCTGACCCGAGCTCATCTTCAGATCAACACCTCCCCCCCATCTCTACAACAACAGGCCCCAGCAGCCTGACCTGAACTCCCTCGCCTCCCAATCGAGCGGATCAAACTGTAACCGGCCTCCATGGAGCGCGTTCAGCACATGACCAAATCGGCCATTCGCCGAGCGTCTCAGATCGAGGTGAACCCGCAGGCCAAGAGGAACCTGCAGGAGCTGTTCGTCAACTTCACCCTCATCCTCATCTGCCTGCTTCTCATCTACATCATCGTCCTGCTGAGCAGCTGAGAGACACGTGCAGAGAGAGAGTTTGGGCAAAGATGAGGGTTTCACTGATACATGCAGATATATTTTTAAAAAAAGATATGAAGCAATAATATAATTGGCATGTATCGGCTTAACCCCGTTTACCAACAAGGCGCGGGGAAGGATCACAGAGGCATTGGCCAAACTCTCAACTCACAGCAAAGCTCAAGGGTGATGTGGGAGCTGATCGGGAATCAGCTGCGCTGTTTGTGTCTCAAGGGAACGATCAAAAGTGACCCGACTCCAGCAGTTTGTAACCTTCACCTCTTCCTGCTGCTCATTCAGATTCACACTGTGCTCGCTTGCAGAGGACAGCGACTCCCGCCATGCACGCATAAGCACGAGTAAGTGCAGCGATGCTGAAATATCAATACATCACCAATGTTTGACTTCTATTTCCCACAAGCCTGCCCCCCTTTATTTCCTGTAAACCCCCGCCCAACCCAAACCCCCCAGCAGAAAGATAAACAGGCTGGAAATGTTTTTTTTCCATGAGCGTTTTCACGTCTTTCTTGGTGTGCCGCTGACAGAAACCAGGTAAACACTGAGGTTTCGCTGAGGTTTCCTGAAACTGCTTATTGGTTAAAAAAAAAGAAGAAGCTTTCAGCAACACAAGTTTAGCAAAAGGTAGCAGGGAGAAAGTCTGAGATGAGCCTCAAAATGTAATGTTGCTGCCCTAGAAAAGCTGCCATGTGTGATGTCCGTTGAGTTGTTGCCACTCTTTATTGGTCCACTGTTACAACAGATGGGCATAGACCCAATCATGGAGGCTACAGTTCACTTACATATGCTGCTAAACCTGCTTTCGCCTAACAATGTAAACCTACTGGTTTCACTATCACTGACACTCAGATTTCTTCACTGAGGACGTCTTCAGAAGAGAAGAAGATGAAAAAATTAACAAATTTGCAATTCTATTGAAATTTCAAACTCTGGCGCCGCCCAGTGGTTAAATCACAAAAGACATGGTGGATCATTTTAAATGTAAAATTTTTTTTACCCTGTTTTTCATCAATTCTGGTGAGAAATTTGACACATATCTTAAATCTACATGGCATTATTTATAAAATGAAGCTCTGTTATCACTGTCTGAACTAATAATGCTGAGCCAGTCAGCTCACTCCCAAAGGTGCAGCATGTCTGCCATTTTATTCAGTGTGTTTCTTACTCTTAATTAACATATATAAACATACTTGATATGATACTTAGGAACGTTTCTAAGTACTGCAGACCTTTAACGAGCGTGTGTGAAGCACAGCCTGAAAGTGACAGTGAAAGGTTTGCTTTACAGGTACATGCAGTCTATACACTATCAGTTGTGAAAGAAAGCTCACTTTGCATGGTGTGATTACAGGTAGTGCCACTTTCTTTACTGCAGCTAGACTCTGTTTGTTTTCGGCGCTGGAATAAAATACCTAATTATAAAATCCTGTCATTGCTTTTGAAACATACTATGACTAAAAATGTTTAAAAAAATGAGATGCACATAGGTGAGTATGAATTAGTTGTTTTTTTGTTGTCTTGTATGTACGTTAGAAAAACTTCCACCTGATTTTTAAACTGTGGAACACCAAATAAACTGCATGTCAAAACAATTAAAAGTAGCGTCTGACTTAAGTGAAATCCTTTGTGTTTATCTGTCCGTAGAGTCCATGTGCATACTGTTTTGGTTTTACAGCTCTTTGAACGCCTGCCTACATCCAAGAGCTTGTTTTCTCTTGACCTGTGATCACCAGAACATACGAGAAATCTCCACTGCCACCCACAGCCAAGGGACTGTTTACCCAAATGTGAATTGAATTCTATTTAAAAAAAATTTAAATGTTGTTTCATTTACTCATTTATTATAGATGTTCTATTTAGCAAATACTCAGAAATTGAAAAAATGCATTGATTTATCAGTAATGCTTAAAAACACTCATTACATTATTCATTATTATTATTATTATTATTATTATTATTGTGAAAAACAGTCTGCAAGTCTGAAGAAATGTTTGATTTTTAAGCCCCAAAACATATTGAGAATATGCATATTAATGTTTATAGATGGATAATTTCCGTAATAATTTCAGTAATGTTGAAAAATACCTGGGTGAAAAAGCCTTCTGAAAATCTCCTTCGACCAGTTTTCTCTTAGTTGTTTCACCATTTGTTGTCTTAACTGGATCATAGTTACTTGTAGTGTCAATCAAAAAAACAATAAATCTGAACACCATATGCCGAACAATTGTTTTGAGCATAGTGTTAGCAAAAAAAATCTGCTAGCTTTTGTCATGGCCACTGAAAAAAACACAAGACTCTGACAAAAGTGTTGACATTTAAAAATCTACATATGTAGGTTAAATAACAACTGAAAAATGCTTTGCAGTCTTAAACAAATATAAAAAGACATGTTTATATAAGTAAAAAAGTAAAGAGCAGTTGTCCCCAACTTTTTCTAACCTAGCATACAGTGCATGCTAGCAGCTAGCCAAAGTAAGTTCCTCATTTGGTGGCTTACAAAAGTAAAAAGATCTAAATTACTTTTTCTTTTTTATAGAAACAGAAAAGACAAATATCTGTAATATCCAATTGTGTATTTCAAAATCCTCAAATACTGCAAGTTCAGATATGTGCAGAGTACAAAAAAGTACCATTAATATTTAGATGTAGATTCAACACAAATCTTATAAGAATTGCACAACAACAGCTTTTTATCTCACAATCATAATTTTACTGTTTTGTAACATACAACAGAAATTAATATAAATATAAATAAATATTGTTATTGTTATTACTGGTATATATTTTTTACTTCCAAAAGAATGACAAGACAGACATCATTAGGTGACAGATTACAGGGGAGACATTAATTTACTTTTTAATTCAGTTGTTACAAAGTGCAACACATTTGTTGTATTTACCTGTAACTGGACCGATGTCAGACTTACTTCAATTTCTCTGCAGATTCTGCAGTTTCTATGGGTCTCCAATGGCTGCTTGATATTACCAAGGAATCCCAATTCATTTTGAAAAGCTAAAATTTTAAAGACAATATCTTATATTAGCCAAGAAAATGTGTAATGGAAGAGGCAGGACCTGTAAGAACAAATTAAAGCATCAACTCAGTAAAGTAATATATGAGCATATACAAAAAATGTACAAAACAAGTAGTACATTTAATGACAAAACCAAATACACGGACATAATGTTGAATCTAAAAACAAAACAGCAATAAATAAATAAATAAATAATCCCTTTAGGTTATGTTAAACCACTAAATAACGTCAAACTTAAAGGACCGTACCATATGTTCATTCAGTAAAATTAATCAGTCTCACCATAATGTCCATTTAGTTCTGGATTCGTCTATATGAACATCTGAGAGCTCCAGAAATACCACTTAATGGACCTGGTGAAACTGCTGAATGATCTCCACGTCTCAACTTTCAAACAAACATGGACAAAAAGTCCGTAAAGTGCTCAGAAAACAATTTAAAAAAAAAATAAATTGTGCAACAGACAGAAAAATTCCTCTTGATGAGGAAAATCATTTTCTAAGAATTAAATCTTTGACTACTTCCTCAACAGCTGCTTCAAGCCACCGGCTACCTCTCTTGAGCATTTTTCAAGTCTCTCTATGATTTTAAACCATAGTATAATAATTTGAAACTGATTGGAGAGTGAAACGCCTCTAAGTGCCGGAACGATCCTCTAACTATCAGGACAGTCCCCCAAGGTGTGCCTCTTGGTTGCAGCTGGGGTTAACAATGCAACTAAAGTGTGCACTGAAAGAGTGAAAGAGCTGTGAGCTCAAGCAAAATGAAAGGAGAGGCAGTAAAATCAGATGTGATTGTGAGGAAAATGTATTAGAACTTAGCTCTAAGAAGAAACAGAAGGCTTCTGCATTGTTGGATGGAGATTTCAAAGCAGAGTTATCTGAATAAATCTTCACAGTGTGCATGGAGGAACGAACCAGCTGTGGTTCGGTGTACCGCGGCCAGGATCCCAGGAAGGATATGGCCAGTTTACGTTCACGTATTGGTCTGTTGCTGGGGTTTGTCATGGGTCAGTATTTACAGTGGGACCTTTTAGTGTAATTAATGATGACATTCGGCGTAACTAAAGCCTCGGTGTCATGACGCTGCATTCTTGTCATATGGGACAGTTGGACACTATGCCGCCACCGCCAAACTTCTCATTTGATCAGTTCTCTGTTTATAGAAATCTATTTTCTCAACCTGATGAAAATGAATCAGGGTCAGCCACAGAATGCTCTGCAGTACTTTCTGTTACATTCCTTTATGTAATGGCTCATTTTTGCCATCCTTCCCATATGCCACAAATACAGACAACCATGTCTCAATCTGGTTTCAGGAAGTGTTTAACTCTTCACTTTAATGAGACAGCCTGTCTGTCATATTAGCTTCAATCAAACGAGAAGATTGATATAGACCAGGCTGTAATTGCGAGCTTGCTTTCAGTCACGCTTGGTAAATACACCTAAGTGAGCAGAATGAAAGAACACTGAGTGTTTCTTATGAATGATCCACTAACTACACCTGAACTCTGAGCATCTGCAGATATCAAGGGTAGTGTGATCTTAAAGGACATTCAAAAACAGAATGATGATTACGAGCAAAGGAAAATGGATACACTCATATATATCACGCAAAAAAAGAGCTGATTACTGATTATTGCTTTTCTTGTTTATGCTTGGTAGTTGCTTCACTGAGAACAGAAACATGAGACCTTCTGGAGCCAATTCTGGTCTTCGAGAGACAGCGAGAACTAATAATCGAGGACCTTTCTCCTCATGGACAGATTGCAAACATCTACTCTCACAATATGAGTTTTCCACAACATGTCACACATTATAGAAGCTTTGTTGACAAATGAAAGTTTTTACACCTTACACACACACATACTAAAAAACTGAGGGTATTATAGACTGCTTCCACAATCTGTAGTTGGGGTAAATTTAGATAGGAGTGATGTTTTAAGTAAATACAAGGCCTCTGCGTCCCTGATAGGACTGATCGCTGGTGACACAAATATTATAATTGTTTAAAAAAAAAAATCTTAATATGAACGCAATGATTTATCATGGGTCATGCCTGTTCTCTTCTTGTACAGTCAGTCCAGACTGCGTTCATAATTAACTGAAACTAAATGTGTGCCCAGCTCAGAAACCCCAGCCAGGAGATGGGAATGACAATCTTGGAAATCATTGTGCCAGGCTCAGAAAAAAACCCCAACAAACACATGAGATGCAAGACAAAACAAGTCAATAAGTGAGTCCCAGAGGTACAGATAATCTTAAACTGGGTGTTTCTAGTCAAAAGCAAAGTTAATATAAACCTTTGCTTAAATATTTCTTTCAAATATATGCAAAGACTTTAAAATGGAATTAATTAATATAAGTTTTACACACACAACAAATTGGTGTTGATTTTTCCTTTCATCTGCCCCCGTCCTACATCACCTAAACAATGAATTCAAACGGTGAAAGACCAAACACTTCCTGAAACCTGCAGCCTCAGTCGAGCCTGTTATGGAAGACGAGCATCGATCATCGATCACACTGAGCTGAAACGTGTCTCTGTGGTTAGGTGGAACCCGGCGGTGTCACTGTGAGAGGAAGTAAGCTCTTCAGATTACTGTCTCCATCCGCTTTTTAAGAAGTAACAAATAGAGCCTCTTTCAGGCTGATGACGACCATGCAGTTTGGAAACTGTACAGATTACTGAATGGACTTCATCACAAGGAACTATGTAAACTTTCAAGTCAAGTAAAAAAAAACAAAAAACGAAACAAAAAAACAAGACAGTACACCAAAGAAAAGATTTCAAGTGAGCAACAGCAGCATTATGATAGTGTTCCTGTTTTCACATGCTCTACGGTCTGCTCTGCAGGCAGAGACGTGCAGCAACAAGAGTTGTGCCACTGACACAAACTCCTAGCTGGTAATGAACTAAACACTCCTTGGCATTAAAAAAGTTTCTAGGAGTCAACCAATGTCTGCGTGTCGCTGACAGAACTCTTCCTCTGAACGTCTCAGGGCTACCATTGTCACAAACAGACCGTAGAAAAACAGTAGCTTATTACAATATAAATACTTGAATAATAAAAAGACAAGGGGTGCTTGATTCACTTTACCTTGATGTTTCCCCTCCTGAGACTGTTGAGGCGTCTGAAGTGGTAAATCAAGCACCCCTCAGATAGCTCAGAGATCTGAAAAGGACTTTCAAACATTTATTGTATGTACACGGTCAAAGTGTTGGGACAGCAAGCTAAAGTTAGTCTTTTTCTTTTTGCTGGTGTCGTTATTGTGGCGCACTCCAGTTTATCATACTGCAGATGCCAAAAACACAACTTGAATGAACAGCAAGGCCAATTCCCCTCAAGATCACGTCTGAATGACAAATGCATATTTATACAACAGATGGACCTACAGTATTAAAGACTAAAGGCAAGTATCAAGGCATTATCACTTTGTCCTGTCCGAACTCTGAAAGCACTTCTAGTCAGACAACAAATTGTAAGACACATTAATGAGCTGTGAAGACAAACTTTGTTTAACGCACCAATTGTACCTGCAACACCGTGAACTTTTACATGAGCTCAAATGATAATTTTATATAGACCAAGTGTTTATCTAAACTTTCTGAATGTTTGAAATCGGTAAGGGTTCAGAACATGTAAGGATTATTACAGACCCTTTTTACAAGTTATTTCATCATATTTGTTGGAAAAAAAACCCATTTAGTTAGACTGCTGAATAATAACAAAGCAGCTCCCCAAATTGTAAAAATAGCAGTCCCCCAAATGGCCACTTGGGGCTGGCTCCAAAATCAAGTCAATGCCCACTGAATCCAACATTAAAATGCTTTTTTAATTTTAAAGATTTGATTTTGGTAGGGTGGATCATCAAACATCGATAGTATTGATACCAACCCCGCTATTGATACTAGCGTGATAGAATGGATACTTTTGTTTCCACTATGTAGCCCACTGAATTGTGATAAACAAATTATGTTTTTGGAAATGAAAAAATAAACCTCCAACATGCACCATGAAAAATGTCTGAAAACCTTTGTGTTGACCGTCACATCTGTTTTATTTTGATGTGACCAAAAGGTGAAAGGTGTGTTTTAATTAGAGATGGCACGATACCACTTTTTAATGTCCGATACCGATTCCGATATCTTAAATTTGGATATCTGCCGATACCGACATGAATCCGATATAGCGTATTTTGTAATCAATAAAACTTTTTTTTAATAAATATCTTGCTGCATTTTGTAGAAGTTCATATTCAAATTTTAAAAACAAGCGACTGAAGTTATTCTGTTATACCTGTATGCAAAAAATACACTCCACCCAAAACATTTTATAGTTCAGCAACACTGATCAATCTAATAAATTTAAACCTATTCTGGTATTTTAAAGAGTACTTAGTGGAAATATTAAGCAACCTAACTAATAGGGTTGCCAACTCCTAGCAAAAATATTAGGGAACCACCCCCCACCCGCCACCTCATGATGCTTAATCGACATAATCAACTTTAATTTAATGCACGTGTAAAACAAATGCACAGAAATCAATTATTTTTCTACAATAATTAAATAGATTCAACATCTTTCTTCAACAGAATTGCAGACTGCACAGATGGTACCTTCCCAAAGGAAAAAGTACTATAGCTTACTGATGTTGTTAAGTACTATATATAATGGATTTCTATACATTTAATCAGATGACCACTTTTGTTGTAAGATTCAGATAATTATTTATCAAGTAGTTTTTAAATGAATACAAGAAAGTATTTCTGTTTAAAATCCTGCTTAAACGTTTTAAAAAAAAATTACTATTAGATATAATTTTAAAAAGGAGTAATATGAATAAGAAAGAAAAGTATTTCTCTTGTGCCCCCCTCTCCCTGTTAATGCCCTACCATGCCCCCTGGCAACACTTTGCTAGACCCGCCCCTGCACAGTTACCAGCTGTCAGCTACATAAAAAGGATCCTGGTGTTATTTGTCTCTCAGAAACAGTTCATAACTTCAACTCATTCATGTCACCTAAAAGGTAAACCTGTTTCTCCATCACCTGTTCAGCTCTGATGATTCCAGTAAGGACATCTCCTGGTTTCATCTTCATGTTTCCCTCTCACCACATATCCAAACCGATATCATGACCAGCAGCTTTACAGCTGTGGCTCCAGCAAACATCAGCTGATACTAGAAATTAATATTAAATAAATTCTAACAACAGCTGTATCAAGCTTAAACGTGCTGCTGTTGTTTATCCACTGGTCTCCTCTTTCTGGCACAAAGTGGGCGATAAACAAATAAGAAAGACGGGACTTGCGACAGAAAAGCCGATCAGCTGATCATGATCAGTTTCATGTTTGAAGTAATAACAGGAGAGGGAAGGGGAGCGAATGAGAGAAGTAGATGCAACTGTGGAGCAAAGACAGAATAACTCCAGCTTTGTGTCTATTTTTTTAATTCTAGCTGAAGTACGGGACAAATCACTTCCTTTTCACCTCAATATGGAACTCCAATGGCCAGTCCAGCTGTGGCTCAATATATCAGTTGTTAAGCTTAACGTGGAAATACTCTGCAAACATTCAGGGATGAACTTACACACTTACTTTTCTGGAATAGTTTTCTCTGAGATCAAATGCTGCAGTTAGGAAGCATGTACTGAGGCTCCAAATGCGCCAACAGACCGCCAACATGTCTCGCAGACAACAGCCGCTCTGTCACGTGACACCTACTACTCCCATGCGACAAGCTGGGTTACGCCAAGTAGCGCGTTTTGTGAGGTGATTTTGTGATACTTCGTATCAAATTACATTTTTTATTTCCCTCCGATATCCGATCCAGTAATTTAGGTCAGTATCGGACCGATACGTAATATCGGATCGGTCCATCTCTAGTTTTAATATATTGTTGAAAGTAAAAGTCACAGTGATTTAGTGGTCATTAAAATGTGCTCTGGATTTGCATTAAGGAGTTAATGATTTAATGATTCATCTGTAGGGTCATGACAAACTACTGCATTCTGTACACTAGTGTTAGTTAGCTGTGTCGCTTTGTAGCAATTAAAACCAAAAATCTGAAGTGTTTCCAAATAATGATAACGATGATCCGCTTAAAGCATGCCGGACATTTGAATTTTATATTGACATCTGGTCTGTGTAGTTCATGTTTTGTTGTTACTCGTCCAGGTTACATCCAGGAACAATCCAGGAAGCTGTGATTGGCACATGTAGGCAGTGATTCAGTGAGCGCTTGATTTGCAGATGATACATTTTAGCTGTTAGGAGCCAAAATTGTGATCAAGATTAAAATTTAATTAACTGCAGCCCTAAGAACGGTGTTCAAAAAAGCACCGTGTAGAGTTACTCTCATTATTAATCAGAGTCTTCATATTGATTTGTAGATTTTAAATACAACAGGATACATTTTCACATCGCTTGGCAACCGGTAAATCTTAAAAGAATGAGATGGAATCATTAAAAGCACCAGCTTCGCCATCAATAAACATGCTACTCCCTTTGGGAAATCTCTGCAGAGCATGCCACGCATTTAAACTTCAGTGTAATATAAATTATTAAATTTAAATTCAGAGGACATTAATTCTTTCTAACTTGTAATTTTCTTCACATTGGGTAGCATGAGAGCTCATACAAATGGCCACTTTTGCAGAATAGCAGATGGCATAAATGTAAAAGACAAATCGTTGTATACTAATGTTTCATGTCACCTCTTTCTGCCATGCACACTTTCATGATGAAGCACTGATAAGCCACACTGCTCATCGTGCTCACCACGTATGGAAGCCCTAAGGTTAAATTCACTCAGCAATGCACACGACAGATGGGAGTGCTGCAATGAGGAGAGGACGTCTCATATTCATGTCGCCCAAATGACTGTGAAAACCTGCAGTTTGATCGCTGTCCAACTTTAGCTCTCTGTCCCATTACTTCCTTTTTTTGACACAGTTGGGATTTAGCGAGTCAGAAAGTGAAGTATTGGGCGTACAGCTCCTCTTCTTTTGTGACGTATTCTTTGCTTTTTCCTGGATTCATCCGCGCAGGGTCCGATGGTGTCGCAGAGTTGGCTTCAGGAAGGCTGAGGGAGGGAAGAAAAACATCTGTTAGAATAATGAGGAGGCAGAAGCTCGAGGACAGAGAAATGCTCTGTCAGGAATTCACAGGCTTACAGATGTATGCAATCAGATGCTCACAGATTTTTAGCTGACAAGCTCGGGAGCTTCACAGAACAGAAAATAATAGTGATTGCCTTGTTTGTTGTGATCGTTGGCAGCAGCCACTGTCAGAGCATAATGAGGGAGATCCAGTGAGTGCTCCTACTCGATGTCATACAAGTGAAGAAGTGGTGGTGTAATGTCCAAAATCCAGCATGGACATAGACTTAGACTGCCCACATTTAAGGACACATGCACAAAGGAGAGCTTGGGACTAAAACACCAAACCTAAAATTATAAATAACGCAAACTTCAAATCACCAAATCCTTTTTCTACATCCTGAATTGGACATGCCACCAGTGTACCATGGTGAGGTGGGATGCTCATTCACAAAATAAGTCTAAAAGAGAAGCAATAGGACCTTTTTGCTATCAGGTAGCAATGCTGACCCCCTTCCCTCTGGAAACTAACATAACTGCAATATTGGATTTTTAAGATCAATATCAATACTCGCGATTTAAAAAATCTGATATTCCGACATATCAGCTGATATTTTCTTTCAGGCATACAATATACGAACAGATTTCCTTAATGTTTGCGTGGTCATTTATTTACTTGTTTATTCTCTCCCAAGTGTGCTCTGATTAGCTGCAGATTGCCCTCTAGTGGACAAACTTTTTAATGTCAACACTCTTACTATGGTAAAGACTTTTTCTCCTGTCTCTTTATTTTTGAACACTTATAAGCCATTACAAATGCAAATACTGATATACTGACAAATAGTTAATATCGGTTTATTTATTGTCTTGCCTGTAAGTTTTTTCATTGCTTATTCTGCAGATTTTGTGCAAGATACTTTGCAACCCACCTCCACCCCTCTGATACAGTCACCATGTATGTATATTACTCAGGTGCTTCAGTTTCCATGCTATTCCTGAGCCTGCAATCAGTGCACAGGTCAGTGGAAGTTTGGACATGTTGCATAAAGCTTGGGACACTTTAAATGAACAAAAACAGTTTTTGTTGTAGTTGGCTGCTCCTTTTAGGGATCCATGGCATAACGGGTGGTGGCAATGATTGGTAACTGTTTAGATATAGCAAGATTGCACAATACGAGCACAAAAGAAGCAGTAAAGTAAAAAAACAACACAAAAACATGACAGACTTCAGCTTTAAACTAAACTGCAGCTCGATTACGAGATGGGAAAAAGTTGGGGAACTTTCAAACAAAGTCTGCGGTTCAGCTGCAGTTTATACCCTCGAGCCTCAGACCTCCCAATGATTTCTAATCAACGGCCGCAGCAAACAGAACTCCTTCATTTGTTTGTCCACTGCCTTCTGTGGAGAGAACAAAGCCCAAAACTATTTCTTTCTCTTTCAAGTTTTACATTTGCAAGTTGCTGCAAAGCTTTCAAAGCAATCATTTGTTTGCCTCTTTGCTTCACTCCCAGTTTAAAGTCCCACTGAGACTGATTTGTAAGTGCACTGTCTCCGGGTTGGTTCTCATCTTTTTGTAAAATATTTTTTATTAACAACTGAGAGCAGATAGGCATTACAGCGAGGATTTACAGTGCATTTCAAAGATGATTCTGTCTTTGATTGCGCCACATTGAGAAAATGAAAAATGTGATGTTAATGTGCGTAATGCATCAAAAAGAGATTACATGTTCATTATTTTTGGGTGTTGACGCCGATGTAATGGAGCGAGGCTGCAGTGTTCCGTGAAATGAAAAGATCAATGCTGCACTCGTATTAGCTCGGGCCTAAATTAAAATGATAAAAAGTAGAGAACAGAAAGAAAAAAAAGTTGTCTCTCATATTTCATCTCTGGACATTGTCAGAAAGGAAAAAATAGGAGTAACAGCTGGTCCATAAGTGCTGATCAAATATAAACCTCACCTCGGTTGAGGGTGAGGGGGTGAGGACAGAATGGAGGGAAACTAAGAAGTGAGGTGAAAGATTGGGACAGTGGAAGCAGCAGCAGACATCACATAATTCACTGCTTGAATATGTGAAGTGAAGGTGAACGGTGAGCAGCAGTAGCAGAAATGCACTTTAGTTCTCACCTCCCGAAGCTCTGCAGGCCCTGATGCTGCACCACAGATTCCTGAGGATGAGGAGCATGAGGAAGAGCAAGGCTTGGCATGGGATGATGTGGAGGATGAGGAGAAGAAGGAGGAGGAGGAGGAGGAGGATGCTGAGGAAGAGGAGCAGGAGGATAAGGGCTGAATAGGGGAAGGGGTTTCCTAAGTCGGGGGAGGGATCTCTGGAGGGGGGAGTTAGGAGGCGCAAAAGGGCCTCCTGATCCTACCTCCTCCACCTCCCGTCCCTCCTCTTCCTGTCCTTCATGAGTCATGGTGGGAGGGCTGACGAATCGGAGAGCTGAATGGCTAGGAAAGCTGGTGAAGCGGTGATCTGATTGGCTGCCTGTTTTTGACTACAGACACACATAGAGAGGCGAGACATGAATGCCGGCTATCTTTAGCTAACTCAGATCAAACTACTAACTGGTTTTAACAACGTGCCTGTCATGCTGTGTAGTTTCCATGGTGACCAAAGTGGTTAAAGCTATTTGCATCATCTCAGATAATGACCTTTAACCTAAACTTGCATCCCTGCCTAAGCAAATCCAGTGAAGAGCAGGAGTAAAGTGCTTATACGCATCTTTCAAATTCCAGTCTACTAAGTGTGATCAAAAGTTCTGTGATTCCACTCATAAAAAGCGGAAATCTTACCTGATTTAAAATGAACTGTGATCCTCTTCAAGGAATCTCCTCGTGCAGATCTGGACTAACTCCAGTACCATTCCTGGTATTTTAAGATTACGTCCTATTCGATTCAGGTATTAATGTTGGATCTCTTCCACTATATCAGTTTCATTTTACGACAGAGGGAGTCCAAACTAACTAGTGTCATACAAAGTTTGCATTGGTATGGCCAATAAAACTGTTTTCAGTGCACTTTGAGTGGGTATATTAAGGTACACCATGTTTTTCTCCCTCAGATGTGTCAACACTGGGAAAAAAAGAGAAAAGCACGCTCCTGGTGTTGGTTGTGACCTGATGTACCACATCTTCTTATAGCTGGAGACCCAACTCATCACCAGTGATGATGTTCATCCAAAAAGGTTGGTGAGTTTGACACAGAAGTTGAGATTTTTGTGTGCAAAAAAATTGCAGAGACCACAAAGTGGTCAGAACACGGCACCCAGTGATCTAAAAGTCCAAGTTAGAAGTAGACCAGAGGTGCACAAGGAGACAGCCTTGAGTGGGAGAGCAGGAATATTTCATCTGGGATGTGTGGCTTTTATTTTTTTGTTTGTAAAGCTTATAGAACTTTTTGATCACACCTTGTATTATCTTACCTGGAAGGACCGCCTTCCACATGGTAGGGGAATACAATACAGTTTATGTGGCAGCTTTTGCTAACACAACCGTCAATCTTTTTTAGATTTTTAGTTATCGTCTCTTCAGAAATTATGCCTTAAAATGCTTCAACATACACTGATCAGGCATAACATTATGACCACCAGCCTAATATTGCATTGGTCTACCTTTGAATTAAATCCAGTAAGTGGTGCGGAGGGGCATCCACGGATTGGACTAGTTTGTCCAGCATTGGTCCAGAATTTGGAGGCCAAGTCAACACCTCAAACTTCTTGTTGTGCTCCTCAAACCATTTCTTCTTTGTGGCAGGGCAGATTATTCTGTGCCACAGCCTTCAAGGAATACTGTTTCCATGAAAGGATGTACACGGTGTGCAACAGTGGTTAGGTAGGTGGTGCGTGTCAAATTAACATCCACATGGATGGCAGGACACAACGTTTATCACAATGTTTCCCAGAAGACAGTGTGATTGCCCAAAGCATCATCATCAGCATGATCACCGTGTCTGGTCAACAAACTGTGATGCTCTGACGCCTTTCTGTCAGAATCAGCATCAACTAGTTTGAGGTGCAGTAGATCATCTTTTGGACCACACAGGTCAGACAGCCTTCTGTACCCAATCATCAGTGAGCCTTGGCCACCCATGACCCTGTTGCTAGTTCACCACTGTTCCTTCCTCGGACCATTTTTGATAGATACTGACCACTGCAGACTGGGAACACCCCACAAAAGCTGCAATTTTGGAGATGCTCTAACCTGTTCGTCTAGCTATCACAGTTAGTCCCTCGTTAAACTCGCTCAAATCCTCATGCTTGACCATTTTTCTCCCTCATCAGCTCGGGGGACAAAATGTTCACTTGCTCCCTGATATTTCCCACTAACAGGTGCCATGATGAAGAGATAATCAGTGTTATTTACTTCAGCTGTCAGCGGCCATAATGTTATGCCTGGTCGGTGTACGGAGAAAGGTACATTTCCTCGACTGTCACTGGACGGCTGTCACAAGGGTTTATCATATGGCCAAATGCACAATGCACTAGATTACATATTATAACAAGCAGCAGCAAAACCTCATTAATATATTTTCTACACACTGGCATTGCAATATTTTTGTAGGGGATCAACCAAATATGTTTAGTGCAAGTCAGCAAAGAATGCATGAAAAAAAGAGCATAAATTAAAATATAGGCACAGAGTAGCCTTGAATAATCTCTCAGTGTTCCCTGAGGGGACTTGCTGGAGAGAGAGAGCTGCTATCTTCCTCACTTTCTTGATATCCCCACTAGTTGGCAAACTGAGAGATTTTCCAGTCCTACACATTGGAAGCTTAGACGTGTGAGCGAAGGACTGAAGATGCATATGTTATTCAATATAAACAACCCACAGCGAGCAACACAGGCACGATTAGGAGGAGGAGGAGGAGGAGGATGGAAATGAGGAGACGATGAGCTGATGTTATGATACTGAAATCAAGTGTTATTGTTCTTGAATGACTCAAACTGAAGCTGTGACAGCTGTGTTCACACATGAAGGATGATGAGCAGCTTTGTACAAAGATAACAGTTATCATGAGTCGTGTGCAATGGGCACCAGGTTTCAGGAAGAACGCTCAATGGCGCTCAGACAACAGACGAAGAAATGGGAGCATAAAGAGGAAGACAAGAAGATTACACAAGCACACGGGCCGCAAACATTCTTCTTTTCTTACAGCTGGTAGCAGAACAATGTGTGAAGATAATCAGGTACAATAGCAACACAGAAGGTTTTAGTGTCCTTGTGCTTTTCTCTTGCTGCAAGTCTATTTCTATATAATAAAGAAACATAGTTTATATGGATAAATTATGTTTGCTACCCTCATTAGGCGGGATAATGATCAATAGCTTCATCTGGCGGCTGTAAACAAAGCTGGGTAACTATGCCAAGATGCATGCAGTGACTGCCCTGGTGTTTCTCCAATCCTCAGCCTGTTGGATGAGTTGATTCATTGCAGAGTGCAGCTCACCTTTACAGGTTTCACTGGTTTGAATTTATGACTCACGGGGATTACTTCCATTTATCTTCAAGGATGATCTCAGTACATTTGCACTATATATCATATGTTGGGTGTTTGAGTATGTAATAAATGATAAGAAATATGTGTTTGGTACGTGGATGTGGGTCTTTACATTCTCTGGAGTTCATACACTGTTAAAGATAAACCGACGTAGATCCTTACAGTAAAACACTCAGTCATACATTTAAGCCGTTTTCACACATGCACGGCAGGCCTGAACTTCTCAATATCAGCAGTGGGAACGGCATTAAACAGTGTTTTCTTTTTAACCCGTGTGGTCCTTGTTTGTGGCAATTAACTAAATGCAGGCAATTATCTAGAGAGTTAAAAGCAAGCGAGCAGGCATCGTATGTCCTGCTGTGCGCTACATGTCAGAAGGGACCACCAGAGTTCATGTGTGAAAACGACTTAATACTTACCGGGTAAATAGGTGAAGCAGATGACTTCAGCTGTACAGAAGTTTGGTATGCTGTAAGACTGAAGCATCCACACCATTCACAGTGAAAAAAAGCAGTGTGGAATGAGCCCACTCACCTTAATAAGAGGGTTGATGACACCGACATTGGCACTGGAGTTAAAGACCTTGTTGAATCCCGTCTCTCGGTTGACCAACTCCAGCTGGTAGAACTTCTTGTCATCCTATATAAAAAAATGACAACATGCTCCAGTCAAACTCCACCCCAATCAAAACACACTCCACTATTCTTCTGTCTGTGTGCCAACACACATTTTTAATAGTCACAGTTTCATAAAGTTTGCACTCCCTCAGTATTTTCAACTAAAACTACACCAAATCAATAATTTCTTGATTCACTGTCCTGCATTCGAAGGATAAGCAAGCGCACATACACAATCCTGTTTACACACATGGATTCATAATTTAAAGAATAACAAAGTGAATTGTGGATCAGCAACTTGAAAAAAGTCTACTGAGATCCCGACTGACACACAGCAGAACCACAAAGGGCGGTTCCACATTAAGACTTCATGAAGTTATCAGCAGCATGCTGCAAAGACACAGGTCCTCCACAGTGCCTCGAAGGGCCACGCACAAGGAGTGAGAGTGAAGAAGTAGAGACATCGCTCAAACCGAGTTCTGCTTATCAACATTTAACTGCATCGCAGGATCTTTATCAAATCCCAAAGACGCAGCTTGCTCGCTAACTTTTCTTTCCTAAGTAAACAACATCTGCTGGTCGAGACCCTTACATGCAGTCAGATGAAGGAACTTTCAAAGAAATATATTTTTAACCCTGAGAACTGTTGAATGTTTGACCTCGCTTCCAGCGATTAATCCTTGATTTAGACTTTCTCACGAACTGCATGTCTATTTTTCAGTTTACTCCTCAGAGACTATCCCATGCCAAGATCTGGACTCATGGACCCCCGCGTCTACTCACCACCAGCTTTTTGACCAGAGCTTCTCTTTCAGTCACCATCTCTCTGAGCTCTGCGATCACATGCAGGTCTTCTGGTCGGCTTTCTCTGTTTCTTAACTTCTCCTCTGTGCCCTCCAACCTGGACGCACCCAGGAAACATTAAGAGTTAAATAAACAGGAACAAAGTGTGGCACCAGAGAGACAAAAGGAAGACAAAACAGAGACAACTTTGATCTATCTTGAAACAGTAGCAGCCCAAAAGAGCCACAGAAGAGGTTTCATCACACGGTTTTATGTCTTACAGTATTTGTAGAGCAGAAATCTTGTCTTTGAGGACCTCCTGGGCCTTGTTGAAGTCAGCCAGCATGATTTGTGTTTCTCTCTGATGGATTGCATTGAGCTCCCCCATCTCTCGCTCGTGTCTCTTTGCAAGGTCTTGTTCATGAGCTCTGCAGCAAAGACAGAAGTCATAAATGAATAAATCATTAGGCGAACTTTTCTGCTAGATGCATATTTCCTAAAGTGCCACCAAGTATCACAAGTTTACACTTAAATAATAATCACTTTGGGACTTTTCCTCTGCCTCTATACCAGTACATTTAATTTCCCGGAAGGGTGACCTGTGACATTGACATCGCATTTCAGTAAATTATAGAGGCCGACAGCAAGATGTGCAGCTGCAAAGTGAACTCTGCTGGGACACAAAGCACAGCTGGTACAGAGAGCATCCGGTCCCTCAGTGCTTACTGTGTCAATGTCAGAGTGTTAATTTATGTGTCTGCAATCTAAGTTAAAGAACGTAATGAAGAGTGTGCTTCATTTACATATGGGGACCATTAGAATTAAACTTCCTTTAAGAAATGTGAAGAAGCAGAGCCAGGGTTACTGGCACAGGCTGCCAAAGCTTGCACGAGTAGCGGACGAACATCCGTCTTTAATGGCTGTGGTTTTGCTTTCACATTTTCTTTTTAGCATCACTCACTCATTAAAGTAACTGTTTTTACAAGCTTAACACTGGACAGTAGCACTCAAACCACTAGAAAAGGGCATTTCAGCAATTCTTGAGGAATTTTAATTAAAAAAAAACTATCCTAATATAATTAGTTTTCTCACATTGGGGCAGACAAATATGACAGAAAGTCTGTGTTACGAACAACAAATTAAGCTTGAAAGACGCTGACATTTACCATGTTTGGAATACTTCATTAAAGCTGGAGAGGCAAACATAGTCACAGTGGTCTTTAGGTTAGAAAAAAGAGCACGGGAGTCAAAATGCGGTAGGCAAAAGACTTTGTGGCGTTTTTCCACGCAAGAAAAATGAAACCAGTGCACCAGTGCCTTAACCTGCATTCTAGCCACCAGATGGCGACAGTGGTGGCTACAAAAAGACTGGATCCTACAGAAGCCTATGGTTTGTGTGTTGACCTCTATAAACATTTTCCTGCTGAGTTTATGAGCTCCTTCACCAATTTTGGATCTTATTAAATAAAAAATTAAGTCTGTTTTGTAAATCTTGATCATCCCATGTTCCAAAACGGAGGATTATCTGGGCTATGCTGATTGGCTAGCCACCTGTGATTGACAATGGGGGTATAATATGTGGACAGACCAAGCCCTGCTCCAAACCAAGATGGCAATTAAATACCATGAATGTCTTCATGGTAGCTACATCCATCTTTTATACTGCCTGTCGTAAAGCTGGAAGGCAACACTGATTCATTTTAAGTCAATACAAACTCTGCTGGCTTAGAACAGATAGGCTGGAGTTGTGGAAGCAGGCGTGTAAAACATGAAACTCTGAGCTGAGAGGTCCTTTACCCACTTTATCTAAAGCATGATGCTGATAACGCTGTGCTTGATTTAGAGCAAAACATGTTTAAAGTTCACCAGAAACTGATCAGAATACAGTATTAATATAAATAAATGCTTACACTGATAGATCTGGACATCTATAGACTTTGTTGTTTTACTGGGTATTATAGCTATGGCTTCAATAAACAAAGTACTGGTGTTTTAACTGAAATGGTCAGACAGAGCGACACTGGAAAAAAATTTACATATGTGAAAATGAAATAAAAATATATTTTTAGACTGTGAAAAACACGTTTAACGTAAAGTGGCTTGAAAAAACTGCACTTATGAATAAACGTGACTTTTTTCAGTAAATCCTCAGAAAAAGACTAAAAATACAGACGCAAGTTTAACATGATTTCACAAATGTGATGTCATCTTTACTTAAAAGGCAGCTGTGAAATTCTAGTTTTATGCTGTGAATGCATATTTAAAATTGGATGGTTGATGCACAAATTTCACAAATATTATTTACTTAAATACTCTTATATAAGCAAGAGTATTTAAGGGTAATGGGAGGATAATGTCTGCTGAGCTACTGAACCTTATCTGATGGTTAGCTTCGCTGCGGACCCGCAGCACCTCTTTGCCCTTCAGCTCCAGCTCTCTGGTTAGCGTGTCGATGGTCTCGTTCAGAGAGTGAATCTCATGGTCCAGATCGGTGATACGGTTGCTACGGGAACACAGCTCCGCTTGCAGGTCTGAGATACGAATTAAGAGATCTTGTTCCTAGAGGATGCACATAAGACAGAATAGGCAGTTATTTGCTAGAAGGCTTTTAAACCTTGAGATCACTTAGGGCGAAACACTGAGAGACAAGAACAAAAACAGAACTAAACCACTGTCGGTGTCACCTGCTTTTGGCTGTGCTCCATGGCTTTCTCTAGCTCTCGTTTGGTGGCAGCGTGTTCTTTGAGGTGGATTTGCTTCAGATGCTCGATGGCTGTCGCGTGGAGGTGGTTCAGTTCTGCACGAAGAGAGGCTGCAGGAAAGAGACGCCGCAGGTAATGTGAGAGATCATTCTTTATGTAGTTTATGTAGAAAAATGACAACAGTGCGAAGAAATTAAAGATATTCTCATGTTTTGTGACTCCTTTCCTACATCGTACTTTCACGACTTATTCTTTTAGTTGGTTTAATATTGGAGGCAACTACTGAGATCAATTTTATCAGCTAGATCTTATCACAGATCTCAGAAAGCTGATTTCACCATTAGTTAATTTCATCCTGGTTTCCTAAAGCGTCTTACGATTCAACCACCAAATGTTTCTTTCTTCTTCTATTCTTCTAAACAGCAATAGGCAGATAATGAAGGTGATTTTGTTGTAATCACTATGGAGAAAAACATCATCACAGCAGGCCGAAACAGAACCAGAACGTCTCAGTAGGTAGAAACACAATCACCAAAGGGTGGGGAAAAAATCATTGCTGCAATTTAAAACCACGCCACAGAGCGAGGCTGGCAGTGTGGAAACAACCCCGATCGATAACTACAAACCTAGACGTGTCAAAGCCACGTTTACTATATCTATCATCATTTACCCAGCTTTGCTTTCCCCTCGTCCTCCAATTCAAATCGCAGTGTCTGCAGCTCCTGGTCCGACTGCTGTCTGAGGATTTCTAAAGTCCTCCTGTGGGCCTCCTTCAAAGCGTGAACCTCCTCCCGCTGCTCCTGCTTTAGACGTTCCTCGAGGGCCTGGCAGACGGCACGGCGAGGGAGATTAAAGAGGATGGAGGGACGGAAAGGAAGGAGAAGAGAAAGGACGAAGATGACAAGACACAATATGTTACATGAAAAATATGGTTTTGAGAAAAGTGTAGTTTGGATGTCTGACTCAATATTTCCTTTTTATTTTTGGCTGAAAAATAAAAGTGAAATGTTGTAAAAAGAAAGCCAGAAGACAAAGAGAGAAAATGAACAGTGTAATCGAACCACAGCTCCAAGCTGGTTTTGAGTTACAGACTGGCACAGGAAAAGTGACAATATTAAGAACACACAAAGACTTTTGGAGACTGTCCCACTATGTACTGCATAAAAAAAGGAAGCTACTCAGCTTCAGGAAGCAGAACTGACAGCGAGATCCATCAACAGGCTGAAAATAACTAAAGAGTGTAAGTATAAAATCACTGAGCTTTTTGACACATCCTCTCAGTGCCACATAACGAAAAAAAAAACTACCTCAACCATAATTTATATCGTTTGGCTCATTTTAATATTACTTAACAAGAAAATTGGTGAAATTAAAGTAAATGATCCAAATAAAATGGCTCAGAAAGCCGGGAATTTCCTCAGGGGTTTGATTGTGCTATGAATCTTCTGCACTTCTTGACTCTGTGGCAGACATAAAAGGATCATTAAACAATATTAGAAAAGCTCAAAAACTTTTTTACTTTGTCTCAAGTAGTTTTGTTGACCAGCACTCGCTGAACTTCACAATGGATACTCTGCTACACGTAATCATTGCTGTGCTGTGGACTATATTGGAAATTCAAATTGCAGCACCTTCCACACTATAATTTCCTCTCTGGAAGAAATAACGTCAGACACTAGAAGCTCCCAGGACGACAAATCAAGTTGTGTACCTCTTATAAAGCACTATTTTAAGGACTTTTGCTGATCACAGACTGCTACATACATAAAAATAAGTAGATAAGAACACAGGTGAAAAGAGAGGAACAGCAGCTGCAGATTTTTGTACTGAAAGTCACATTTTTCAGAACTATAAAAAGACACAGGATACAGCCAGAGGAGCTCATGAACTACTTTGATGATTTAAAAGTAAAATGATAGGTCAACTCTTATTTTTGTCAGTCTTTTTCTTTCATTTTTTTTTAATGGTAATAGGCGTTTACTTGTGTATTACAAAGTTCGAGGGAAGTGACACTGTGGATATATCAGCTACTGAAGCACAATTCTCTACTCTCCTGCTGATAGACAGCTAAAGGACACTTTAATTCTTTAATTTAAGTTTAGCAGCAAGTTTTTAGTTTGTTCTCCTCCCTAATGGAGGGAGTGTGTACTCTGTCTGTTTGTCCACAGTTTTCAAAACAGCATTTTCAGATTTTCTGTGATGGTGATACCGATAACAGCAACATATTAGGCCTTGGGGGACATGATTACCTATGCTGGCTAAACATGAGCTTGACTGCTGTCCCTATGATGTTGCTATGATGTCACCATGATGACATAACGGGTTGACATCATCATGTTGTAATAAAACATCATAAAACACCAGAGTGTTAATAAACCTGCCCTTTGATAGTTGCGCTCTCTGAGTGGTCTTGTTTCACGTGTGGTTTCACGCTCTTGTATTGATGGATTTAGTCAAAAACATTTCTTCAAGAAATCTCAGTCAACATTACCTCAACACAAGGTCACTGCTTACTCTGCTGTTCAAGCAGCTAAATCAACCTATAAGCAGAGCTAGCTTTGGACAGAATACCAATCATGGTTCACATGCAGTGCTAACCTTTTCATAGTTTTATTGCTGCAGTTGTCACATTTGTTTTGGATGACTTGAAGAAAATATATAAAATATATTTTCTGCTCAAATGTTGCCTTGCAGTCATTTTTAATCACATAGGTAAAAAATACTGGCTAATAGTACTCATCAGCCTCCTAATAAATACACCTATGGTATTTGAAAGTCCTACGTGACGTCCTTGAGTCATCGCATTCACAAAAACTTGACCTCTGACCTTGCGGTACATCATCACAATGTTTTTGAGTTAACTATCAAATCCATTCACCCACACCGGTCGCAGTGGATGGCTGCCCCTGCCTGAGCTTGGTTCTGCTGGGGGTTTCTTCCTGTTAAAAGGGAGTTTTTCCTTCCCACTTTTGCCAAGTGCTTCTTCAAAGGGAGTTGTTTGATTGTTGAGGTTTTCTCTGTATTATTTTCTTTATCTTACAATATAAAGTGCCTTGAAGTGACTTGTGCTGGTCTATATAAATAAGACTGAGTTAAACTGAACATTTATTGATGCCAGAAAAAGAAACTGCACTGATTGCTCAGTCTCAGACTCGGCTGAGGTGACAGATCAAACCAAATTTTATAAAAAATCGTCACACTGAAATCTCTGCAACACCAAACTCCAGCCTAGCCATACAGGATCCACCAACATACAGTGTTCTAGAGTCACTTTAATACTAAGTACAAAGCAACAGTAAATCTCTCGAATGCTGCATTCAGTAGTCAAAGGTTTGCTGCTTAAATCATATTTAAAATCACAGATTTGGTTAATTTAGTTAGGCATTTTTGCTACTAGAATTACTGCAGCACATTATTGCTTCAGTCACAGCACTTGTTAGTGAACGATGGTAGCATTTAGCAGCTGTTGTTGCTGCACTAGTGAGGCTGTTGAAACTGTCCTCGTCGCACTTTTACTGTGTGTACAAACAGATGAGTTCAAAGAAGACTGCAGTGAAGTCCACAGTGGAACAAGAAAGGCTACTGTAATGTATTTAGTAAAAGCCCCCGAGAAGTTAGTTAGAACTTGCTCTACTTTTCTTTTCAGAGAGAACAAAAGGCAGGTAGTGTCGTGCAACTATGTGACAAATCCCAAGACAACCGATGCAAACCTACATGCTTGCAAATATGTGTGTGTGTGTGTCGTACTCTTATCTGGTGCTGCCTGGCTTCCTCCATGGTGCTGAGGGCACAGCAGTGAGCCTCCTGTAATCGATGCTCTCTCCTCTGATGTTCTCTCTGCATCTCTGCAAACACAGAGATATCAACGTGTACACTGAGATGCATCAACAGCAGACGTGTTTCCATTCTGTTTGACACGATAAGGCAATATGACAATCTGAGCCAGTCGCACAGCGGCAGGAGACGCGCCGCTGAACAGAAGGTGACAACAAAATATTTACACACTCGATGCTCGGACTATTTGTACTAAATATTTAGGTTACATTTCAGATTTTTATTTATTCTTCACAACAAAATAAAAATTGGTTTCAGCAGTGGTACAGTGCAATGCAGCATGATTTGTCTCGACATGCTGACGATCTCATGCTAGTGAACATCCTGGGCTGTGAATTCAGTTATTTCCCTCATGGATGTTTTGAAGCAGTGATTCCCAAAAGTTTTTAAGGGAGCAGTGGCCCCCTTCATGGCTGCTTGGCTGCAATAATAACAGAAATTCAACTTGAAATTAGTAGTATGCACAGTTGCATATTTATATCAATGTAGTTATATAAATATGGAATTAAAACAGGAAATAGGAGGTGGTATTACTTTATTTTGACCTAAATTTACTTCTCCTGTATTAAAGTTTATGTCCCAGTTAGCCTTACCACTTTGCATATGACTAGGTAGCATTAGCAATTTATAGCCAACATCCTGTGTGGTTTATTTATTTTTAAGACATTTTTCGAGGAATACATCACATTCTCATGGATTCTGATTAGAGTGAAGATTTAAGATTGGGTGGCCCCAATGGATCTTCAGGTTTTTAAGTGGGCTGCAGCACTCTTGACTTTGGGAATGGCTGATTTAGAGGCACGCAGGTTTCCCCTGATAAAACTTGTCAGACTGCAACTCGTCATCTAACAGCTCAAACTAGCTGTTACAGCTCCAACCTTCCTTCTCTTTCAAATTCCCATAATCAAAAAATAAAAAATCTCTTGTTTTATAGTTGCATCAGTGACAAAAACTTTCAGACATTATCTTTCTTGTGGCTGCGTTCCGTTAAACCTGATTTTAAGGTTAAGGAAATAATATAGATGATATGAGTTGAAAAGATGCTGATCAGAAAATAATGTGTAAAGGAGGTTAAAATCACATACAAATGCAAAATCGCTACTTTAAGAAAGTTATTTTAGGATGAAATGTTGAAACTCCAGCGGCAGCTTGTAGCCGCAGTCGCCACGTGGAGGAAGCGCGTGCATACCTTTGAGCTGTTGGCTCAGGAGCTCTCTCTCCTGGTTGAACTGAGACTGCAGCTGTTGGAGAGCTGACTGAGACTGAGACAGCTGCAGCTCCAGGGACTGTTTCAGCAGAGAGATCTGAGGAAAAAGGGACGTAAAGGGGGAAGTAGTAAAAATATGGTGTTTAGGTGTTTATAATGAGCAAAGGCTTGTTCAAAAAAAAAGAAAAAAGTAACAAGACAGAACAAATTAGATTAAAAGCAAATGTTAACAGGTCAGCGTGCCCACATCCGATAGAAGCAGTAATTACAGGCTGAACTGCAGGGACAACACTGTGTCTCTCTCCAGGTGGTTCTCTATCTCCAACTGTGCGGCGACATCACATTTAATTTACAAGGAAGACATACCTCCAGGAAAGAAGCAACTCACTTAACAGAGCACACACATTTAATTATAAAACTCTCTCTTTTGCTCCACTATATTTTTTCCAATGCATCGCTCTTAACCAGGGAGAGAGCCCAGGTTTTTCCCCCTTTTTCTAACAATCACTCCCTGGTGGTGATATTGACACACGGATGTAATAAAACCACTTGAGGGCTGCGGATGAAGATTTCTCCACTCGTGTCAATGAGCTGACAGCCCGTCACGACGACGAGTGACAGCTCGCACGGCCCAATAACAAAAGCCAACAAGCGTAAGCCCCATCAGAGCACGCCAAAGTGTTTTGTTTCGAGGAGATACTGCAGCTATCAGAGGCCTAACTGCCGGTGAGTGGCAGAACTCTCTCAGCCAGACGCCTCCGGCCCTTCACATGCCACTCTTTCTCTGAGCCGCTGCAGTTAAATCCCCCGCAGGGTTTAGTGCTGAAGAAGTACCACATTAGCAAGTGTAAGGTAAGATGGATTTAAAAATGAGAGGATGAGGAGCAGGGCTGGGATGAAGTTTCTGAGGTTCTACATCGGATAAAAAAAAGATGGCCTGCACAGTTTATCCTTTCTGTCTACTCCAACTAATCATTTTTACAGTTACAGCAAAATAATGGGATGTGCGAGATTAGCAATGTGGAAATACCTTAAGCGACCTTGTTTGCAAAAACATGCACCCAGCCCTCTGTGACTTAATTAAACACAATCCCAAGCGCACAAGTTTTGGCTCGCACAAACTGGAGCCTCGGGCTCGGACCTTGTAATGAAAATATCTTAATGAAAACGAAGTCGTTATAGATAACGACGGCACATCCGCCCAGGCGCACAATACCGCACGGGATCTGCGCTCACTTAAGGGCTTTCAGGAATGTCTTTTTCTACTTTAACAGCACATGTAGCTGCCACGTCCATCAAACATGAGAGGCTAAGGCAGCAAAGGCATAAATGGCTTCACTGAAACAGGTTAATCAAAAATTCAGGACATCAGGGGTCATTTTTAACTACATCTGCACAAAACAGTCAAAAGGGAAATCATTCAATTTTTTCATCCTGTTGAGTCTTGGCAATTCTCTAAAGTTAGTGAGTACAATTATTCAGCGCCAAATGTCGGTGGATTGCAGATTTTGCAGGCAACTGGGGTCTGTTTTTGTACCCCTCACAATTCAAGCGCATAATCCTAGTGACTGTGGCTGCTGTAGGATAGCCACTGTAGCTTTTTTATGTTGTCACAATATATCATATTTGCTTCTTTTTATATCTTGCTTGTTCATTAACTAACTTGTAAAGACTTTGGATACTTTGTTGTTTTTAACTTTAGAATAGAAATAACACTGAAACTGGCAATGAAACATGCCAAGAGAGATCAAAAACATTCAATTGAGACTGAATGCTATAAGAGATGCAGCCGGCCGGCATGTTTTTGCTCCTGTGGAAGGCTGTCAGTCCACTGTTTACCTCAGCTGTCAAGGCCGGGTGAGAAGCATCTATCTTTATTTACTCTGGAAGAGGCTATAAAACTTTGTGAAAGGAGTCCAATATGGAGTCAAAAAAGCTCAGTTGTGAATAATGACAGCAATACTGAGGTCCTTTTTGCCACTGTTAGCTGTTAGCCTCTGTTAGCAACTGTTGAAACTGTCTTTGTAATGGTTGCAACTTTTAAGGACTCAGGAACGTCATGACTGAACGCTGATATGATGTGAGAATGCAATCAAACTCTTTATCAGAGGGAAAGTGTGATTTTTAGGACACTTGAGCCAAACATTACATATGGTAAATGGCCTGTATTTATATAGCGCTTTACTAGTCCCTAAGGACCCCAAAGCGCTTTACATATCCAGTCATCCACCCATTCACACACACATTCACACACTGGTGATGGCAAGCTACATTGTAGCCACAGCCACCCTGGGGCGCACTGACAGAGGCGAGGCTGCCGGACACTGGCGCCACCGGGCCCTCTGACCACCACCAGTAGGCAACGGGTGAAGTATCTTGCCCAAGGACACAACAACCGAGACTGTCCAAGCCGGGGCTCGAACCGGCAACCTTCCGATTACAAGGCGAACTCCCAACTCTTGAGCCACGATCGCCCCCATACATATGTAACGTTAGCCCAGGGGTGGGCAATTCCAGGCCTCGAGGGCCGGTGTCCTGCAGGTTTTAGATCTCACCTTGGGTCAACACACCTGAATCACATGATTAGTTCGTTACCAGGCCTCTGGAGAACTTCAGGACATGTTGAGGAGCTAATTTAGCCATTTAAATCAGCTGTGTTGGTTCAAGGACACATCTAAAACCTGCAGGGACACCGGCCCTCGAGGCCTGGAGTTGCCCACCCCTGCGTTAGCTTGTAACTAGCTGTTGTTGTTTAGCCATAACAGTTGTCAGCTGTCTGGAGATGGGCCAGTTGCTTGTCTAATCTGCAGACAATAAGTGATTGTGGCAGACTGGTATGGAAAGAACAAATGCATTAACCATGTTTTATTAGTCTGTTTACTCTGATGTAGCAGAAGAAAAGTAAATGCTTAAAATTAATGGCTGTACCTTTAAATCACAATTGATTTTCTGAAAAAATGGGAAACATTTTGATTGGATTTGGTATGCATCTTCATTTCCAGTTAATAAACAAAACTACCCTATCAATCACAGGGGTTTTCCTGGAAAAACAAACCCTTACTTTTAGACTAATTGTGCTGACAGTTGTAGCTGCCCCTCAAGACCCTCTCCTAGCCAGGAAAGGCCCTGCATCTACTTAAATTTTGATCTGTATTGAAATTTATTAAAATAATAAATTCAGCAATATGGCAGTTGTCCCACCATTAAATCCATCACACAGCAACCAAGAACAGAGTCCCACCATGCTCACTGCTCTGCTGTTCTGAGCAAACTGAGCATCTGGCAGGCTGGAGGGTCGGCGTATGAAGTATTAACACTGATCAAAAGAAATGCCGAAGAGCAGTAGTTGCTACTGGAATTACTTTTTGACTGAAAGAGAAATTGTACACACCATGAGGGTGGAATGTTGATGCAATTATGGGATTGGTGTTATCTGAATGCACAATAACTTGAATTTGTAAGGATGATACAGAAGAGGTGCAGAGACACAGAGAAGCACTGACAGCCTTAAAACCACACCAGGAAAGTAACAATCTAATATAACATCACCTTCTCTGATAAATAAAGCGGAGAATTTATTATTCTTAGCGTTATTAATGGGTAATCGACCAATATACATCCATCATATTTCCGTTATCACTCTGACAGATGCTAGTTGTAATCATGGCTTATGTGTGAACAGTTTGAGATTTGTCCTTAAAATGCAACGTGATGTGTTATATCTGAGGGGACTGCGAGTTTCTCTTTGCATTGTGACTGATGAGTCTCTGAGCCCCTGGTAGGGCTGGTGTTTCTGCAGAGCTGTAAGTAGGTCAATACAGTGCAGATCACTGTAATAATACTTTCGTGCTTTTGTCTTTATAGTGGCCCAGCTTGCATGTCTGCTGTTTTTTCTAGTTAATCTTTGTGCAAGACTATGATTGAAAGTATTACGGGGATAAGCTAAAACATTCCTAACTGGGCTTTCAAATTAAATTTAAATATTTTGGGTTGAAAAGGATCTTTTAAGCATGAATTAAACTACTTGGGAATGTTTTTTTCAGGTGATGTTCATGTAGCCTTTGAAAGCATGGTCTTGGATTTTGAAAATTATGCTTATCTGCACTTCACTTTAATGCTGTACTGGTGCCCCCGGCCATATCAAACTCAGAGCAATGACTGGCATCAATTCAATTCCAGAAGTTCTCTGGGTGAAATCCTCTACCTCTGGTTGGTGGCCAATACCATCTACCAGAGGTCCGAGGAGAATGGCCAAACTGCTTTAAACTGACAGGGAGGCAACCACTTATAGTAAATAATCACTTGTAACAAGTGAGTCTGCAGAAGAGCATCTCTACATGCAAATGTTAAAGCAGAAGACCACACTGGATGCCGCTCCTGCCAGCTAATAACAGGAAACTGAGGTTATAATTCTCCAAAATTGGACAACAGAAGATTAGAAAACACTGCCTGCTTTGATAAATCTTGACTCCTGCTGCAACATTTAGATGGTAGGGTGTGAAACCGGTGTGTACAACATGAAAGCAGGGATCCATCCTGCCTTGTATCAATGATTTATGACGCTCGCGGTGCAATGGAGTAGAGAATATTTTCTTTACAGACTGTGGACTCGTCAGTACTAGGTAGGCATCATTTAATTGCCACAGCCTACCTGCGTATTTACCCAAAGCTCAAATCATCTCAAACTGTTTTTTTGACATTCAGTTCACTGAACCCAAATGGGCTCCACAATCACCAGATCCCAATCTAATAGAGCACCTTTGTGATGAGGAACTCTATGATGCTGTCGTGTGAATATGGACAAAAATCTCTGAAGAATTTATCCAGCACTTTGTTGAAATTATGCCGCGAGGAATGAATGCAGATCTGAAATCAAAAGAGGTACTAGCAAAGCACATTTAAAGAGATTCCGGTAAGTGTATATACACTTAATAATATCCGTGGATTACAGTATTACATATACACACATTAGTCATCTTTTCTGTTGCTCCTAAACCAACCCCCCACCCACCCACCCCCACACACACACAGCCCTGTGAGGGCAAAAAAAAGACACACATACAGAGGCTCACATATAGTACACATACAGTGTGAGCT